AAACGCAGATTGGAATGGCTAAGCAACGATTGTGAAGACTAAGTTGCTTAGTAGGTAGTTAAGGTATATGGTGTGACGTGAAAACGCTGCCAAAGCAATACGTTATATTGGTGTGACGTGAAAACGCTGCCAAAGCAATACGTTATATTTTCGTGACGTGAAAACGCTGCCAAGGAAATACTATATATTGGTGTGACGTGCAAACGCTGCCAACTAAATAGCGAAATAAAGAAGCGTCACTAAAAGAATCATTCGCGTATTTATTTTAACGTTTGGATAAGGGAACCCAACATCCGACTGAGCCACAGCCCAGCTATAGACCTGATAAACCGGGTTCGTTACAACATATCCACCAAGATTACACAAATGAAGCTAAAGTCAACTAGCGTGAACTGGCTTATAAACAGTAAATCAAAACTGAAACTAGATTATAAAGCAATATAATTATTAATATGTATAAAAACTATTAATAAACAATAATGTCAGCAAATACAATAATAATAACAAATATAATGATAATAATTAAATACGTAAAACGGATACATCATTTACCAAGCTGGCAACACTATTCCGATATTGACATATCGATCCCTGCAAAAAATCCCCCTTTTGGGAGAGTGGGCAACGTTGCAACACAACAGCTGAATAAAACAATAAAAAACTAAAATATTATAAACCAAAAAAATAATAACTGTCTGCCTGCGTGCAGGACAGTATAAATAGAGCAGCAAATGTAAATTGAAATAACTTCTGGTAGAGTAGTCGTATACTCCAGTCGATCGTGTAAACGCAGATTGGAATGGCNAGGATGTATGTTATTCAACTGTGGGGTACGAACTGTGCAACCAACATTGACAGGATCCAAAGATTCCAATCTAAAACGCTAAGGGCCTTAACGGGAGCACCGTGGTATGTCCGCAATGAAAATATCCATAGGGACCTTGGTATACCGATGGTTAAATCTGTAATCGACAGCAGCAGAGAAAAATACAAAATAAAACTGCGTGACCACCCAAATCCACTGGCAAGTGGCCTGTGCAACACAACAAATATAACACGCCTGCGAAGAAGAGATCTACCGGCCTTTCGTTGAGCGACGTTAAACCAACAGGGCTCAACCCCAGGGTTTGAGCTGTATTATTGTTGTTATGTACATATATGAGAGATACACTTAGCCACTTAAGCATAACATTCTACGTACACATACATACACACAGACGAACGAATAACGAAATGAACACTAGGTAAAACACTTGTATCACAAACGAATATGTAGAATAAAGTCAGTCGCAATCCAACCATTGTAGCGAGTTTACTGAAATATATAATATATTGGCGACGAGGAGTCGAAGAATCCAATTGTTAGCTTTTTACATTACAAGCAGTGGAAATGACTACGGATGAGAAAAAAAGTGTACCAATTTTCAATTTCGAACCATTCCATTCAAGGAAAACGTCATGGTTACGCTGGGCAGGACGTTTAAATACACCATTGGAGTTATACGAATGCCATGCATCGAAACACGCAAAATATCTTCTCCATTTGATGGGCACGGAGGCGTACAACGTTTTATGCGACAAACTAATGCCGGAAAAGCCGGAAGATAAAACGTTTAGCGAAATTGTGAACGTGCTGGAAGCACATTTTGATCCTAAACCGAACGAAATTCTAGAAAATTTTCATTCAATATGAGGAAGCAAAAACCCGATGAAACCTGTGCAGAGTTTGCAGTAGAATTGCGCCGATTAGCAACGAATTGCAATTTCGGAACACACCTTCCGAAAGCTTTGCGGAACCAATTCGTGTTTGGGTTAACTATTAAAAATACCCAAAGCAATTTATTGAAGCAAAAAACACTTAGCCTAGAAGAATCCATCAGCATGGCGACGGCATACGAGCTTGCCGAAAAAGGAGGCGAAGAACTACAAGGAAACGAGAAAGAGCAGGTGAACAAACTGATAAAGCAAAATAACGCAACTAAAAAAGGAGATAAAGAGTTGAAAAAGACTCAAGACAATAAAAAGAAATGTTTCCGATGTGGCTGCACCGCGCACTTGTCTGACAGCTGCAGATTTCAAGAGTATGTGTGTAATTTTTGCAACAAAAAGGGCCATTTGAAGAAAATGTGTTTCAAACAAAAAAGCAAAGAAAACGAGTTGACCAAATTGAGGAAAACAAGTCAACAGCAGTGGAGGAATTGTTTAACGTAGAAGCGGTTGAGGTTAACAACATACGAAGAAAAATTGTGTGCGAGGTGCGAGTAAATAACGAAAACATCACGTTTGAGGTGGATACTGGTTCCCCCGTCTCAATCATAAGTGATAAAGATTTAAGAAAGTATTTCACCGACATGCAATTGAATACCACTAAAACGGAACTAGTAAGCTATTGCGGAACACCTTTGGAATGTCTGGGCTATAGCTGGGTGCGAGTTTCAATTGAGAGATGTGACAAAATACTGAAACTATATGTAGTGCGTTCTGACCGCAAGCCACTTCTAGGCAGAAAATGGCTACGCGAGATTAGATTAGATTGGAACAAAATAATAAATAATGATACAGTTATTGTGCAAAATGTTAACCAGATACAGCAAAATCAGAGAAGCAGTCAAATTGAAAATTTAATTAGTAAATACTCGGATGTGTTTTCGACCACTACCGGAAAAATCAAAGACTTGCAAGCTCGTTTGTACTTAAAACCTAATGCAGCGCCGAAGTTTGTGAAGCACCGAAGAGTTCCTTTTCCGTTAATGGAAGCAGTGGAGAAGCAATTAGATGCACAAGTAGCAGAAGGTCTTCTTAAGAAGGTTGAAACCAGCGAATGGGCTACGCCAATTGTCGTGGTGCTGAAAAAGGGTGGTGGAGTCCGAATATGCGGGGACTATAAAGTTACGCTGAACCCGGTTTTATTGGTCGATGAACACCCACTACCAACAGTAGATGAGCTGTTTAGCAAAATGGCAGGTGGCGTACGGTTTTCGAAAATCGACTTGGCAACAGCATACCTTCAACTAGAGGTACATCCAGACGATAGGCACCTTCTTACGCTCAACACACACAGGGGATTGTACCAACCAAATCGTATGATGTTCGGCATCGCCAGTACACCGGCAAAATGGCAGCGATTAATGGAACAGGCTATAGGAGATATTCCGGGAGTATCGGTGTTTTTGGACGATATAAAGGTGACAGCGCCAGATGATGATACACACATACAACGTGTCGAGGAAGTACTTAAAAGGCTCGATCACTACAACATGCATGTTAACTTGGAAAAATCTCAATTTTTGAAGGACAGTATAGAATACTGCGGGTACGTAATAAGCAAAGAAGGCATTCGTCGAATGAGCAACAAGATCCAGGCTATACAGAATATGAAAGTTCCAACAAACCGTGAAGAAGTTCGTGCATTCATGGGGCTCGTGAACTATTATGGCAGATTCGTTAAAAACTTAAGCGACATAGTTCACCCAATCAATAGATTGCTGCTAGACAAAGTGACTTGGTCATTCGACAAAAAGTGCAAAGTGGCGTTCGAGGAAATAAAAAAGCAAATGCAATCAAACGTAATTCTTGCCCACTACGATTCAAAGTTGCCGATCACGTTAGCTGTGGATGCTAGCCCAATCGGGGTAGGGGCGGTCCTTAGCCACATGTATGAAGATGGCACTGAGAGACCGATTCAGTTCGCGTCACAGACTTTAAGCAAAGTGCAACAACGCTATTCGCAGCTCGACAAAGAGGCATACGCAATTATTTTCGGAATACGTAAGTTTTACCAATATTTATATGGAAGACAATTTACGCTCGTTACAGATAATCGGGCGATATCACAAATATTTTCACCTGGTAGAGGCATACCGATAAACTCAGCAACTCGTATGCGCGTTATATTTGGAACAGTTTGACTACAAAATCAAATGCAAGCGTTCGAAAGAGAATGGGAACGCAGATGCTCTTTCGCGGTTACCCAATGCAGCCACATACGAACAGGTGGAAGAAGTTTATGTGGTGGAAGAAGAGTTGTTCGAAAATTTGCCGGTAACGGTAGCGGAACTTCAGCGTGAAACGAAAGCGGACGAAACAATAAGACGACTTTATGAGGGTTTGAAGTATGGCAGAAAGTGCGAGGCAAAAGATCGATTTGGCATCGAACAACACGAATTTACTTTACATAATGACTGTATACTGAGGGGAGTGCGCGTATACATTCCAAATAATCTACGACAAAGAGTACTGGACGAATTGCACACGGCTCATTTCGGTGTGGTCAGAATGAAAAGTTTGGCCAGAGCCTACGTATGGTGGTATCAAATGCATAAGGACATCGAGAATGTGGTGCAAAAGTGCATTGCATGCCAAGTCACCCGACCAGACCCTAAAAGAACAATGCCAGTACACAGTTGGAAAACACCCGGAAAAGTTTTTGAACGAGTACACGTAGATTATGCCGGTCCGGTAATGGGTAAATATTTGTTTATTTTAATTGACGCATTTAGCAAATGGCCGGAAGTTCATTTAACTTCAAACATGACCACCGAAACAACGGTTGAAAAATGTCGCGAGATATTTGCGCAGTTTGGTGTAACAAATGTCTTGGTAAGTGATCACGGAAGACAGTTCAACTCGACCGAATTTCAAAAATTTTTGAAGGAAAATGGAGTCATCCATAAGCAAGGAGCACCGTATCACCCAGCAACAAACGGTCAAGCAGAACGTTATGTACAAACGATTAAGAATAAACTTATCGCAGCAAATTGCACACCAGAATCGCTGAAAAGCGAGCTTTCAAAGATACTTATAGCTTACAGGCGAACCATTCACCCAGTAACTAACAAATCGCCATCGATGCTTATGCTAGGGCGGCAAATACAAACACGTTTGGATTTACTTTTGCCGCAAAATGATCAAGCGAAATTCGGTAAGACACTACCAACAAAGAGGATTGACATAGGGGAAAGAGTAGCAGTACGCGATTACCTGTCAAAGCCCAAATGGAAATTTGGAGTAGTTGAGGCAAATAAAGGCGATTTGCATTATAGTGTCAGACTCGACGACGGTCGAAAATGGACGAGACATATCGACCAAATGCGAAGATCAAGAGTATCAATCGACGATACGCCGGAAGATTCTTCTAAAGCAACAGGAATGCTAGCGGGAGGTCCAGTCAGCGAACAAATGGGAAGAGCTCAGAATCATTCATTATCGTCACATCAGACTCCAGATGCGGTCACAAATCACTCATCGCAATCATCATCTCAACCACATCAACCTGTCGAGGCACCACCTGAAGAAACACTTCGTGGAAAGGGCGGAGAAGAGGCTAACAAAAACCTACAGTCAGACACATCACAAAAGCCGACATCGACAACAACAACACTGGAATCACCCGAGACCATGCTGCGCCGTTCGCAAAGGCAACGTAAAATACCAAAACGTTTATTATCATAAATATGTATGTACATTGCAACCATTAATTCAATTCTAACTCTTGTAACTGAAACATTGTAAACCTTAGGGGAGAGAGAGATGTTATGTACATATATGAGAGATACACTTAGGCACTTAAGCATAATATTCTACGTACACATACATACACACAGGCGAACGAATAACGAAATGAACACTAGGTAAAACACTTGTATCAAAAACGAATTTGTAGAATAAAGTCAGTCGCAATCCAACCATTGTAGCGAGTTTACTGAAATATATAATAATTGTAAACAGATCCAACAAATGAATTCAAGTACAATTAAAAAAAAAAAAAAACAATATACCCAAATAAAAGTTATAGTATTTTGTGTACTCTGTTGTATTAAATTGTCGAAGTCAAATAAAACAGGGCATGAATAAATCGTACTCAACTTGGTACAAGTCAGGTAATTTTCGAACTAGTTCGGTTTCAGTCACGAAATTCTCGTTGTAAACTAGTATTTTATTGCGACAGTTACGCTGGTCAAAACCGTAACGAAGCCGTAATAGCAAGGCTGTCATATTTTTTTAATTCTTCGACCTTCATAAATAAGATTAAGATAACACATTTACTTCCAGGCCATATTATGATGCCAGTTGATTCTATGCATAGCACCATTGAATCTTTTGTTCGAAATCATACTAAGGGCCGTTTGCTCCATGTCTAGTTAACGCTAACTGGAGGTACATCCTACATCGTACTTGATGCACTTATCTATTAATAGCTTGACTAATTTCCGTCAAATTTGAAAAATCGAACAAGTTTTGAAAAGAGGATTTATAGACCAATAAAATTATGTATAACAATATACTGTTAGACTTAGCTTGTTGGGAGTTTTCGTCGGTTAAATTTAAAATTTTTCTTAATTTTTTGAACTTTGATCATCGCTTATTTCAAAAATGTCTATGATAGTTGCCAAATATGGGATATTTATCTAAAGGAATATTTATTTTCGAATAAATTGATACTCACGTAATGCGATGGTATAGAAATTGTCGAAGTTAAGCAATTTAAGCAAAAATACTGCCTTGAATTTATATGCGTGTATGTACCGGACGTGGAGATTTTGCTAAGGAGTTCATCAATATTTACTCGAAACTGATATATACAATAGTTCTTAAACAAAAAATCTATTTTCATTAAATTTTTGGAAAATGGGCGTGGGACCGCCCACTTGAGTCATATATGCGTATCTCAAAAGCTGCTTGACCGATCTGGACCAAATTTGATACACACATTGTGCTTGGCCTCCTTAGCATCGTGTTAAATTTTTTTGAAATCGGAATCTAACATTTGAAGGGTAAGAATAGCTCTAAATGGCATACAGCAAATAACATTAAAGCCGTTTTTCGTGAGCTTAACCGTGAAAAACCTCAACATCTTCGCGCAGTTCTAAGTTCGGAAACGATCTAAAGCAGCACAGCATCAGAAACTTTGAAATCCGTATAATTATCATGTTCTTAATTTCTTTGAATTACTTGTCACATCGAAAGACTACATACTGAATTCATGCTACTTATTGCATAAAACACACTAAGAGGGTTGAGCGATGCGCTTGCCAGATTTGTTTCAGTTACATTTTTATTAGCGTAACGCTCAACGCGCTAATTCGGTATGGCTGTAAGGCTTTAGCTTTGAAATCTAATTTAAAGATAGTTTGCATTTTTCTTGCATGATTCAAACCAGGGCAGCCACAGTGTTACTTAAGAGGAAAACTTTAAAAATTTCAACTGTTCAAAAAGGTGGCGGCCACGCCTTTTCAATCAAACAGGCTGAAAGGGTATAATCATTGCTCACATTATTTTATTTCGAAATAAATACCTTTAAAAATTTGATGTTAAGCAAAGGACAACGTATGTATTTCAAATTTTTGTGACGCCTTCACTTCTCCGATTGACCTAAAATTTTGGACAACACATTTTTTCATTAATATTCACCAATCCGGAGGGTGCGACCTAACCCAAATTAAAACTAAAATGTGCCATATGACTAAGGACCACCCCAATGTACACATATGCGTTTATATATTTAGTGCAGGCGTAAGAGCGGATCATTGACCCACTATGAGGAAGCTATCGCATCCCTGCAGTTAAAGCTACTAGTTGTGAACTCAGGGCCGGATTAAGAATGTGGGGGCCCCGGGGCCGGGATACGTGTGGGGGCCCCTTTTTAAAGTCTCAATCTCAAACTATTCTTTCAGAAAAAAAAAAATATAGTTTGCAGTAGATAATTATAAGGTTAGAGAATAAGATGACGCATTGATTAAAGTAACAAGGGAATAAATACTTCATCATTAAAACATGTTCACAGTATATTACACCAATAAAAGGATACTCCTTTACTGAAACGACTCTTTCCGTGATTTTTTTGCTGCAAATACAGCAATGATATCATCGAAACTTAGTTCGCGCAGTATATCTCTTTCGGAGCACAAGAGAACCAAATGCACAAGTCGGTTTTCACCCATACATGATGGAAGTCGACTTTTGATTAATTTCATCTTGGAGAAAGATCTTTCACTCGTGCAATTTGTTACCATCATAGACAGATATAAACGTAGAATAATTTCTGAATTAACAAATGTAGACTGAAGATTGTTTTCTTTGATGATGCGGTACAAAAACAGCTCAGTTGATTCGTTCTCTCTTTTTTCGTGAAGATACGCGAAATCTCGAAGTTGTATGAGCTCGTTCCCTAAAGATGATTCAAGATCATTTGGGTATGTTTCCACAAGCTTTTTAGCATGCAAATTGATGTCTTCTGATTCCATGAGCATTAGCTCACCAATAAAATTGAATCGCTCAAAGACCAGCTTGTAGCATGAAATTTTGTCTTCAAGTGCACTTGTCAATTTATCAATAACTGGGAGAAAAGCTTCGGTGCGAAATTTGTCCCTTGCTGAAAGTTGTACTGCCGACACCTGAGAGCCAAGGGGTTGCAAGCGAACATTTGCTGATCTCACTCGGACATTTTCATAGTCGCTGACTTCGGACAAATCTTTCGCAGCTTCTTCGTACGTATCAAACGCATCTCTTTTGGATTTCATAAATGACTGCAAAGATACGAGACTGTTAACAGCAGTCCGCAGGGTGATTGCAGGATTCTGAAGAGATTTGATGGCTGTTTGCATGTCACCAACAAAAGTGTTAATTTTCAATAATCTAGAACCGAACTACAGTTTGTGTGAAACAAACATATGTGTGAAACAAACCTGTTGTTGGAGCGCCTGATCTAAACAAGCGTAATGATTCGCCCTGGTTGCATATGCTACAGTTGCATCAACATGATTTTTTGATTTCTCATGTGCGGCAACCCGTTCTGAAGCGTGTTTTCAATCGCAAAATCCACGTTTAATCAGTGTACAAACAAAGCAGTATATTTTGCCAGTCGAAGGTGAAAAACAAAGCCAAGAACGGGTAAGCCTTTCCTGATTAGGAAGTATTCGCTGAAAAAGGATTTTACTGCATTTTCGATCTGCGTATCCATCATTTCGTAGTTGAGGCAAGGAAAATTTCTCTAAAACTTCTTCTTCGCAGTGCTGCAATTCGGTTGACCCTCGCTTAATCCAGAAGTCTATCACTGTTTCCGTGAGTATATATGAGAATATAAACTAAGTTGATTGCAAAATAAAATGAATTAGGATCAATTATTATTAGGTATGAGATGGAAAAAGATCAATTGTTTGAACAAAGAAAAGTGTACGAGTTCGTATTGCATAAGAAAGTGTATAAATATATATTATGTGTTCTAAAAATGTTGTTGTTGTTGTTGTTGTTGTTATACAAATAGAAGGTTTCAAAAGGGCTCCGATTGCGTAGCCTAAGCTTCGCACAATAAACTTCAAGTTTAAAAAAATTATAGAATTGGATAAGTGCTTCACAAGTTGCGATTACATCGCAGAGTGTTCACCTTCTAATATTTTATTAAAATATCTACATTTCAGAGAAATTCTTTAAACCATTATTTTCTATTTTTTTATCATTTCAATTTTTTTACATTTTTTATATTTTTATATACATATTCATTTCATCTTGTGGGGGCCCTCCAAATGTGGGGGCCCCAGGCCGCGGCCCCGTCGGCCCTGCTGTTAATCCGGGCCTGTGTGAACTATTACTTTTCAGCCCAACTAGTTCACGTTCTATCCTTTTTCAATGCAAACGATTGATATTTTTAACATGGCGATGTCCTACGAAATGTCAATTGTCAGGCTATGCAAAAGCATCTACCAGTAGAAATACTAGTAGCATCATACTAGTTGATGAGATCGTGTGCCAATTCATCCCCCGTGAAAAGCATAAGTATGCCATTTTCCCCGCGGCACTGCAACAGTGGCAATGGCCGACAGAGCAGAGCACTGGCGTGGTATTACTGAGATCCGGGGTTCAATCCCTGGCGCAGGGAGTTTTTATTTTATTTTTATTAGTTTTATTTATTTTTTATTCTTTATTATTATTTAATTTTTATTTATTTATTTTTATTTACTTATTTTAATTTACTTTTTTTATTTAGGGCTTTTGTTGTAAGTTTTAAATTTAATACACAAAAAAGATTTTTATTAGTTTCTTGTTTTATGGCATAATTATTTCTTCCTATATTAATTTATTATCTATATTTAAATTGAAATAACTATATTGACTTACTTTGAATTAATTTTAACAATCTTAACCACCTCTAATCGGACTCGAACCTGCGATCCCAGCACCAGAACAGTCAGTCTTCACTCGACGCCACAACCGAAATTTGTAAGAAAAGCATTTAATTGCGTGTTGTATTTGGTTTTGTCAATTCAAAGGGAAATGTCGCTGAACGCTTAAGTTCACAAAATCATCGAACTGGTAGGCCACAGATTTAGCACATACTAGTTAATGAACTGGTATTTTTACTGACTGGTTTGGCTTTTCACTGCAGGGGTGCGTCCACACATGCCGGCCCGATATGTCATATTTGTG